CTGGGGGATCCTGCATGGCTCGGGGAAGTGTCTGATCATGCACCTGTGGTTGCTTCGATTTCGGGGCATACTTCGGCCGCTTCTTCGTTTCGCGTTCCTCGTTGGGTTTGCTTGCGCAAAGAATTCCCCTCCATGGTCTCTGAGGTTGTTCTGGGGGCGGGCCCGATCTCCGACCACCCTGTTTAGGCGGTTGAAGATTACAGTTGTGTTCTCAAGCAATCTGCTCGGAGGCTCATGCGTAGACTGGAGATGCGCACGGCCAGCTCGCCTCCCGAATTTCTATCCTGGACTCTGGCAGCGCTTCGAGGCATGAGAGCTGTGGGTTCGGGTAGCTTCCCGCGCGGACATGGTCGAGAAATACTTGGTCGGGCTTGCGCTGCCTACCCCACCCTAGCTCGGTTCCTGGATCCGCATGAGGGGGTTTGGGCCGACTTTCGAGGCTTTCACGATCATCTGGCTGACCTTCAGAGGCAATGCATTGCTGCGCGCGTGGAGGAAAACCAGGTGTCCAAGGCCCAGAAGGAGTCCGGCACTGCCAAGCTTCTTGGGTATCTATCGGTCTGGGGCAAGAGGAGGAAGCGCGTTGGCCTCGAGGGGGTTGTCGACCCGACCGGCAAGGAGCTGCTCGACCCTCTGAGCGCATCCCGCGAGCTTGCCGATCACTGGGGCCAGGTGCATGGGTGGAGCGAGGGGTCTGAGGTCCTGGGCGGGGAATTCGCCCACTTGATCCCGTCTACCCCTCCTTCGATCTTCTGGACCCTGGAACCAGAAGAGTGTCAAGGAACACTTTCTCGGGTTGGAGACTCCGCCCCTGGCCCCGACGGGCTCCCCTGCGCTGCCTGGAAGGGGGGTGGCGATGGAGCTTCGTCTGCGTTGTATGCCTTCTACTTGCATATTCTGACCGCAGGAGAGGTTCATCCAGAGTTCAATTGGGCTTACCAAGTTTACCTGGCCAAAGGTGACGCCCCCGAAGATGCCGATCGTGTAGTTAGGCCTCGTGAGGACACTCGCCCCATCACCTTGAGCAACACCTCGAACAAGATTACCAGCCGTGCTCTCAACCGCCACCATATCCCGAGTCTGCGAAGAAACCTGCATCTGCTTTCAGCGCGGTTTCGTCCCAGGACGCCTGGGAACCGACAATATCATATATTTGGAGGCCAAGCTGATACATTGGATCGCCCAACGAGCTGAATCCCAGGCTGGACTTATTATTCTAGATATTCGCGCTGCGTTCCCCTCCCTCCTCCACTCGGCCATCTTCTTCACGCTCAGAGCGATGGGCATTCCAGAATGGTACATCTGTGCAGTGCAGGCGCTCTATTCTTCCTGCTGGGTTGTTGTCAGCTTTCGCGGATGCTGTGAGCACGGGTACTGGAGTCGGCGCGGGATCAAGCAGGGGTGCCCCCTCAGCGGAAGTCGTTTCGCACTCACCTACGACCCGATCCTTAGGTATCTCGGCTCCCGTGTACATCGCGATCTTGGGGCCCCCGGCTGTTTTGCTGACGACCTGGGGCTCGCCTGTTCGAACGTGTTCGATGCCCTCGTGGTTGTCCTCGAGGTGATGAATATCGCTGGGCCTGCTTTCGGGCCCCACCTGAACCCTAAGAAAACCGCCCTCGTCTTCCCGCTCGGCACGTCCTCGGAGAATTTGGAGCGGGAGCTCAAGAATCGTGGTATTAGGAGGGGCGTCTTCAGCATCCAGAGGACGGGGAGGCATCTTGGGCTTATGCTTGGGCACGAGAGTTCGGCAGAGAGTTGGTCCCACCCGCTTGGAAGATATGTTAGTGCGGCCCGTGATATTAAGTCTCTCGGTCTCGGGCCCACGAAATCGGCTGCTCAGCACAACCTCCGCGCCTTCCCGCGGCCGATGTACGTTGGCCAATTCCACGCCCCTTCGCCCACAGCTCTGTCTACCCTCCGCGAAGGATTTCAGGCTCTCGCGGCAGGACCTCGGAACGCCATCCCGTTCGGGCTCCTCCAGAACTTGCGTGGGCTCGACTTCCCCGTTGAAGGTAACCGCATGCCGATGATAATCCTTCAGTGTTTAGAGTTGATTATCGTCGCCCTATACGAAATTCAAATTGGGCGGCGAGCGCTGAGGCCGAACTTCATTATCACCTCGAAACGCTATGTTGAGATAGCAACATCAAGCGATGTTGATATAGCAACATCAAGCGAAGCGACCACACTTTTCAGGATGTGTCAAGCGAAACCAATAATTTTTGGAGGCAGACTCAAACGAAACGAGCAATGTTCTTATTATTGTTATAGTTTCCTCTTCTTCTTTTATATTTCTATCTGTCCTCACGCTCGCCTGAACTTTTTAATCCCTGGGGTTGATTATTCATGGAAAGTGAAGCACATGAGCTACCCTACACGAGCACTTTAAAACATCAATGATCATAAAGCGTTTGTAAATTAAAATTGATAGATTTGGAACTTTGGATGTTTCCTTTCTTCGTCCTCTTCTTATTATCATCTTATTCTTCTTTCTTATTATTATTATACTGTATTCTTCTTATGTTATATTTCTCTCTGTCCCCACGCTCGCCTGAACTTTTTTTATCTCTGGGGTTGATTATCCATGGACATTGAGGCACATGAGCTACCCTACACGAGCACTTACAAAAAACAATTTTCATGAGAGATAAGCCATTGTTGAGGATATTTCTATGAAAACTAAACGCCAAGGATGTCTCAAAACGTGCTCGGCTTGGTCTCCTCTTGATCATCTCTTACTTCGAGATTATGTTGAGGTCTGCTGGGCTACTTTTATTGAATCGCTTCGCTCATTCCGCCGGCCCGTGATATGGCATCGCTGGTTTTTGTCTGTGTGTTCGTTGCCCATGTTGCGCTCTTGGGGGCGGGTGTCGTTCGGACGCGTTGCGTGGGGAGTTTTGATGGTGAAGCAGTTCCCTGGGGGTCGTCTCTCGATGGGGCGAAATAGAGTCGTCGTCAAGATGCTTCTTTGGGGGGCCTCTTGGGGTCTGTTGAGAGGCCGTTCGGGGGCGCCTGGGAGACATGTTTGAAGCCTTCTGGGGCTTCTTTTGGGCCTCCTGGGAGTCTCCTGGGGCCTCTTGGCGACATCTTGGGGCCTCTTGGAGGCCTCTTGGGGCCTCTTTGGGACCTCCTGGGCGCCTTCTGGGACGGAGGGCTCCATTTTTGAGTTCTCGGTATCCCTCCTGAGTCCCTCTTGGGCCCGTCTTGGGGCCTCTTGGTCCGTCTTGGGCGGCACTTGGGCCGTCTTGAGGGCTCTCTTGGGTCGTTTCGGCGCCGTCTTGGGAGCTTCGTGGGCCGTCTTGGAGCGGTCTTGGGGGCCTCTTGGGCCGTCTTGGAGCGTCCGGAAGCCGAAAAAGCCAGAACACAAAAAACATAGAAAAAACATATGATAATCAACGATTTTGGCCTCTTGGGGCTCTCTTCGGAGGCCTCTTGGAAGGCTCTTGGGGCGTCTTGGAGGCCTCTTGGGCTGTCTTGGGGGCCTTTTGAGCCGTCTTGGGGTCATCTTCGGCGTCTTCGAGCGCTCTTTGGGCGTCTCGGGGGCCTCTTGGGCAGTCTTGGGGGCCTCTTGGGGCACTCTGAGCGCGCTCTGGGGAGCCTGAGAGGCCGCACCCAGAAGGAAAACCATCTCTGAGTAGACTTGGTCGGGCGGCGGTCGGGCGGCGGTCGGGCGGCGGTCGGGCGTTGGTCGGGGTACTTTTCGCCGGGGGACCCCCAGGGGCCGCCCCGCGCGCGCGAACTAGAAATACTGTTAATACTGTTAACCAGTTACCGGAGATCTTAGCACGCCCTGGCCCGTTGGGCCGGCGAATTATCTCTCCCTGAACCCCGAACTTTATTATCCCCTAGTGTTTATTCTCACGGGCATGAGGTTAGGGATCTTCAGGTTGCCAGTCGATATCGATGTGCTGTCCATTCGTCGGCGTTCTCAAGGGCCCGCGATCTGCTCCTGAGCTTTGTAGATGATGACGAATGCTGCCCTGTTTGGAAGGGCCACCCTCTCTGGCTCTCCTCTCTATCCGGTTCCCTGATGGCCAACTTTGACCTAGTGGTGACCATCCCGCGGGTCCCCGCTTTGGGGGGAAGCGGGCTCCAGGCGAAAGTGGAGGCTCAGCTCAGGGTTCCTGGCAATGTCCGTGAGCTCCTGCTCCCTCGGCTACGATGGTGGTTTGCTTCCGCCCAGGAGTGCCACGTCAACTTCGTGGTCCACTCTTTCGTCGCCGCCGCCCGCGCCTTCCCTGCTCTGTCTCTTCCTCTCTTCGTAAAACCCTGTGCAATAGTTGGTGCACGACTCGTCGTTTCAGAGGTCCCACCCAAGTGTGCCCTCTGTGCCGCGCCCCCCAGGGTGACGGAGTGTTGCACCTGCTTCAGTGTCCCCTCCCCGCCCCTGTCGCCTCCTGTCTTCCCGCCCTCCCTTCTGGGTTCGCCGATCTCTCTGCTCAGGCTAAGGTGTGTCTTTTGATGCTTCCCCTCCCCGACGGGGGAAGACTGTCTATTCTGTTGTTTATGGATTTCCTGTTCATTATCTACCACACGCTCAAAGGGCTGCGAACAGGTGATTGGGGCAGCCAGGTCCTCCCCTTCACCAAGGCGAGGTATACCGCCCTCGCCCGCCGCCATCCTCATCTGTGCTCCCTCTCGTTGTTCTCCTTCTGCTCCTGACGGGACGGGTGCGCCATGGGGAGTGGCGTTCCTCCTCCTCCTCCTCCTCCTCCTCCTCCCTCCCTCCCTCCCTCCCTCCCTCCCTCCCTCCTCCTCCCTCCCTCTCCTCCTCCTCCTCCTCCTCCTCCTCCTCCTCCTCCTCCTCCTCCTCCTCTCCTCCTCTCTCCTCCTCCTCCTCCTCCTCCTCCTCCTCCTCCTCCCTCTTTCCTCCTCCCCTCTCCTCCCCCTCCTCCTCCTCCTCCTCCTCCTCCTCCCTCCTCCTCCTCCTCCTCCCTCCCCTCCTCCTCCCCCTCCTCCCTCCTCCTCCGCCGGCGCCGCGCTCCCTGCCCGGCCCGAGCGCGCGCGACGGCGCGCGCGCGGCCAGCTGCGCGGCCCGCGCGGCGGCCATGGCGGCCGGCCAGGCGCGGGGCGGGCTCAGAGGGCCAGGCGAGCTCGGGTCGGAGGTCCGGCCCCCGTCCCGGAGCCTCCCAGCTTGCAGCCTCGAGCCTCCTCCTCCTCCTCCTCCTCCTCCTCCTCCTCCTCCTCTCCTCCTCCTCTCCTACTCCTCCTCCTCCTCCTCCTCCTCCTCCTCCTCCTCCTCCTCCCTCCCTCCTCCCTCCCTCCCCCCTCCCTCCCTCCCTCCCTCTCCTCCCTCCCTCCCCCTCCCTCCCTCCCTCCCTCCCTCCCTCCCTCCCTCTCCTCCCTCCTCTCCTCCTCCCCTCCTCCCTCCTCCCTCCTCCTCCTCCTCCCTCCTCCCTCCTCCCTCCTCCCTCCTCCCTCCTCCCTCCTCCTCCTCCCTCCTCCCTCCTCCCTCCTCCTCCTCCTCCTCCCTCTCCTCCTCCCTCCTCCTCCTCCTCCTCCTCCTCCTCCTCCTCCTCCTTCTCCTCCTCGTCCTCCTCGTCCTCCTCCTCCCTCCTCCTCCTCCTGTCCCGGAGGCTTTTCCCCCCTTCCCAGGGCTCGTTTCGACCCTCCGCTTCGATTCCGTTTGATTTCGATATGCTCCGATGAGGATTCCATTCGACTTCGGATTCCGGTTCGGATCCCGATGTGTCAGTGAGGCCCCACTAGTCTCCGCCGATCCGATCCATTCCGATCTCCGATTCGAGTTATCGATTCGATTATAGGAGTTCCTGCTGTCCCCCCCTCGGCGCTCAGGGGGGCGGGCTCAGGTTTCAGATGCTCCGCCTGTGCGGGGAGGATCGGCCCAAGCACCAGCAGAGGATGCCAACACGGGGCTTTCTGCATGCTCGAAGCTGTCGAGGCTGGGCCTCGACTCCGCCACAAGCTCATGGCAGGCCAGGTCAACCAAAAGAAGTTGCCGGCAGTCTTCTGCAATGGGTGCGGGGGCGTGACCTGCACAGTCAGGGGGAGGACGCCGCCCGTGCGAGCCTTCATTCACTTCAGAATTGAAGCAGTTACGGAGAGGTCTAATTCCAGGCACACCTGACGAGTTTTCAAATCTTATGCCTATCTAGGTCGGTCTGTGACGGGGGATGTGGAGAGGATAGCATGAGGAATGGGGGGCAGGCTTTGTCTGCATCTGTGTGGCCGTAACGGTCCAGGCCGTTACGGCCTTCTGTGGCAGCAGGCATCAGGATGTAAGCAAATTTGGTATCAAGTTTGATATCGTGGTTTCTCCTCAAAGCCTGATTATCGGTGTACTGCCCCATCCGTGGACATGGAATTTACGAACCCAGCTATTTCGAGCACAGGAGATATTCGATGAGCCCTCTTATATTCGTCTCTAGATACGCCGATCCCCAGTGGTAGTCTAGAGGCCACGTCAGGCCAACATCCCCAGCGGCACGAATCAGTACGTGATATTTGTGCTTGATCCAGGCCTTGGACGAGGTTGCACTTGAACTGCGATGTGTTGCATATCCGTGATCCTTTGCATATCCGCGCCTCCTCGTCTTCCTTCCCTCCTTTATCCTTGGCGTGGGCTGCTGTGCACCCGCGCAGCAAGGCCATCGAGGGTAGGGGGGGGGGTCCGGGGAGGAGGAGATGGGCGGGGAGGGTGAGGGGCTCTATGGAGCAGAAGTGTGACGAGTTCAATCCTTAGCGCCGGCTTCGAGACCCCTTGCCTTAAGTCGGGCCTGTCCCTCTACAGGGGAAATCTTCACAAATAGTAAAAACATCGTCTGGGGACCATTTGTGGTGTATTTTTGCAGCATCTTTTGATGATTATTGTTGAGTATTGTTTATTTTGCGTCCACAATCCCCCTGTAGGGGGACAGGCCCGACCTGACCCTTGCCGACTGGCAACGAAGGGGCTCTTGCTGTGCTTGCTGCGGCCCGAGCCTCTGCCCAGCCACGCGCAGAGGGGGGTGGGGGGAGGGGGGAGGGCTTCTCAGAAGCACCCCTGCGTCTTAGAAGGCGCGGGCCTCATCTACAGATGTGAGGCCGGCGCCTTCTAAGAAGCAGCCTCCTTCTAAGAATCGATTACACGTAAGAGTGACGCTTCGCCGGAGTGACCTTTGATGCGGGCCCACTGGGGACCCCGATCGCCGAACGCGAGGCGGCAGTGGCGTCTTGCGCGCTTGTGTTTGGCCCCCCCCCCCCGCGGCCCCCAAAAAGCCGCGCACCAAAGGTCACTCCTGCCCAGGTCACTCCTACGTGTAGCCAGATTAGTGACATGATGTTTTTTTTCCCCACGTAAGGACCCCGACATTCATCACTTCACTAAACCGCCCAGGACGAAAGTCAGGGGCCGAATTGCTGCTGTGATGCCACATCGGCCTCGTATAAGAAGCCTTCCCCCCCTCCCTCCATCCCCCCCCCTCTGCGCGCCGCCAACCTGCTGCACCTCCGGGCAGCACCGGCGCGCCGAGGAGGGAGAGCCACGGGCCCAGATCCCCCGACGCCGCGCTCTCTGCCGCAGCGTCGGCCCCCCCAGAGGGCTGGAGCCCTCCCCCTCCCCCTCCTCCTCCTCCCTCCTCCTCCTCCTCCTCCTCCTCCTCCTCCTGACCGCAGGTAACGGCGATGTGGGATTCGGTATTGTGGGAACGCGTGGCTCGCGCTTTCCTACAACTCGCTGTCTCGATTTCGCTCGATCCGTTCGCATATTGGAAACGCAGTGATGTGAGTTTCGTGATTTTCTACAGGACGGTTCCCAACATGTCCGTTAAGCAACATCGCCGTTAGCCCAGCCTTGGCTGGACTCAGGTCGGGCCTGTCCCCCTACAGGGGGATTCTGGACGATAAATTCAAAAAACTCAGAAAATGCCCCAAAAGATGCCCAAAAGTACTCAACAAATAGTCCCCAGACGATTGTTTTACTATTTTTTCATGTTTTCCCTGTAGAGGGACAGGCCCGACTGAACCCTGGACTTGTGGACGACGATCAATGGAGAGGAAGCCATATTGCCAAACAATGCCCCGACGTTTTAGAAAATGTTTCAAGCATGTCCTAAACATGCCAAAACATGTTCTGAACATGTTTAGAGCATGTTTCAAACATTTGAAGCACATGTTCTGATCAATGATGGGGTTGTTAGGGTGCCCATTGTCATGGTATCCACCACCCTGGACCGGTGATTCATCCTGAGTCGCTTTTTGACGGTCCCGAGGCCCCAGCCGTGAGGGCCCCCCAGACGCCTTAAGCGGCGAAAAACCTCGCGCCGCGATTTCCTTCACAACGCGAGGAGCCCTGGGGATGGGGAGTCCGAGGGCCGGCGCGAGGGGCGGGGATGGTCCTCCTCCTCCTCCTCCTCCTCCTCCTCCTCCTCTCTCCTCCTCCTCCCTCCCCTCCTCCTCCTCTCCTCTCCCCTCCTCCTCCTCCTCCTCCTCCTCCTCCTCCTCCCCCTCCCCCCCCTCCTCCTCCTCCTCCCCCCTCCTCCTCCTCCTCCTCCTCCCCCTCCCCCTCCTCCTCCTCCTCCTCCTCCTCCTCCTCTTCCTCCTCCCCCCTCCCCCTCCTCCTCCTCCCCTCCCCCTCCTCCTCCTCCCCTCCCCTCCTCCTCCTCCTCCTCCTCCCCCTCCCCCTCCTCCGAGGCCTCGCCCCCGGAAGCCCCGCCTGGCCTGGCGCGCTCCTTCCGCGGGGCCGCGCGCGCCCCGCGCGAGGCAGCCCTGTGGGGCGGCGTGGCGGGCTGCCTGATGCCGCTGGCGTGCGCCGGCGGCATCGCCAGGTGCGCTCCCAGACCCCCTCGAGGAATGAAAAAATCACGACGGGGGGTTTTTCGCCATTTTCGGCCTCTGGGGGCCCTCACCGGGCTTCGGGAGCGTCAAAAAACGACTCAGGATGACAAACCGGTCCCGGGGAATGGGTCGGGACCTCTAGAGGTCGCGTCATGAAAAAATCATGACGTCGGGGGTCTGGGCTCCTCGGCTCGGGCCGGACGAAAGGGGGGGATTGGGAAAGGGGGGGTGACTAAAAGGACGCGAAGATCGGGACAGAATCGGATCGGGAGAACTCGAAATCTCTGAGAGTCGGCGGGTTTGGAGGATGTATTGGGCGCCGCAGCCGCTCCAGAGCGTTCCGGAACGCTCTGAGAGCGCTCCGGAACGCTCTGGAGCGATTTATCCCGACCCTAGCCCTGTTTTATACGAAATTTGCTGCGTGCAGCCGGTTTCGGCCCCATGCACCGAGGGGCACATTCCTCGATGTGCACAGCCGCCTCCGGCGCTGGGAGGCGCCGGGAAAATCAGCTAGTTACGTGAGCTGATTCTCCAACCCCCCCTTTGCTGTCCCCCCCTTTCACCCGACCCGATCGGCCGCCCGCGCTGTTCGGGTATGGCCTGGACCCCGGGTATGGGGACCAGCTTAGTAGTAGGGCCCTGGAGCCTCGGAGTTGGCCAGAGTCACTGAACCAGGTTCGTCATAGCTGGTGTTTTTTTCGGGCGACGGCAGTTCCGGTCAGTGAGAATGGGACGGGGGGGCGCCCCCGGTGCAGATCACTAAACCAGGTTCCACTAAACCCAGCTCTACCAACGCCCGAGGCTGTCCCCAGACGTGGTCGCGTCGTGGCAAAAGGTCACGACGGGAGGTTTTGATGGCCGCTCTCGGCCACGGGGGGCCCTCGCCGGGCCTGGGGGCCGTCCACAAACGACCCAGGATCCCAGGCCCCCGACGTAATGATTTGTTCATGACGTCGACCCTCACAGGGCTCGACCCCTTCCCAGGAACCGGCTCTTCATCCTGAGTCGTTTCTTGATGCTCCCGAGGCCCGGCAAGGGCCCCTGGAGGCCACAAGTAGCGAAAAGCCTCCGGTCACAATTTTTTCGTTGCCCGAGGGGGCCTGGGATGGAAAACCGGTCCCAGTGTCAGCCCTGACTCCGGATCCGCCCTACTTTGGCTTTTTTCCCCACTTAAAATTGCTTCGGAAATCCACATCGAAGAAGCCGAAAAAGTAGGGCGGAAATGTCCGCCCCCAAGAAGCAAGGCTGATAGTTTCGCCTTACTTTTTGACGTTTCTGGTCAAGTCCAGTGGGGCAGAAATTGGCATCGTCAAGGCTTGAAACGTGTGGCGGGAATTCCAGGCCCAACTTGCGAAATTGCCCAAAGTGGGGCGGATCCAGAGTCAGGGTGTTCTCGGCCTCGGGGGGCCCTCGCCGGGCCTCGGGACCGTCAGAGAACGCTCAGCCGGTCCCCTCGGGACTTCCGGGGGCCCCGCATTGAAAAAGTCAGGGAGTCGCACGTCCGGGTTTGACGCCCCGCCCGCCTGTGCTCTGTCTCCCCAATTAGAGCTTTGCGTAGCCCGCGCAGCTTTTCACCGGAAGAGGTTCGCTCTCGACCCGCAGACCCCCCCCCAAAAAAACACATGTCCGGGCTCGAGGGGCTCTCCGGCCCGCGCCCGCCCCTGGGCGGAGCCGGAGTCCCAGGGGGGGGGGGTTCGGGACCTCTGGGTGTCGACGTCTCCTCCTCCTCCTCCTCCTTCTCCTCCTCCTCCTCCTCCTCCTCCTCCTCCTCCTCCTCCTCCTCCTCCTCCTCCTCCTCCTCCTCCTCCTCCTCCCTCCTTCTCCTCCTCCTCTCCTCCTCGCTCCTCCTCCTCCTCCTCCTCTCTCCTCCTCCTCCTCCTCCTCCCCTCCCCCTCCTCCTCCTCCTCCTCCTCCTCCTCCTCTCCTCCTCCTCCTCCCTCCTCCTCCTCCTCCCCTCCTCCTCCTCCTCCTCCTCCTCCCCCTCCTCCTCCTCCTCCTCCTCTCCTCCTCCTCCTCCTCCTCCTCCTCCTCCTCCTCCCCTCCTCCTCCTCCTCCTCCTCCTCCTCCTCCTCCTCCTCCTCCTCCTCCTCCTCCTCCTCCTCCCCCTCCTCCTCCTCCTCCTCCTCCTCCTCCTCCTCCTCCTCCTCCTCCTCCTCCTCCTCCTCCTCCTCCTCCTCCCCCTCCTCCCCCTCCTCCTCCTCCTCTTTTTTGACTGGGGGGCTCTTGGGGATGGGCCTCTGGACCACACATCACCACGGCCAAACAGATCAATCCTGCTCGCGCACGGGCTTTCCCCTGTACGGGTTCTTACCGTCCAGGATACGGTCACGATAGAGCCTCCGCCACCGATGGGCGGCAATACCCTTCGTCAACGGGCCCTCGCATTCCCGCAGCAGCTTCTGGGCTCGGGAGCGGGCGAAAGCCCCACAAATTCGGCACACGGCATACCCCACCATTTCGACCACTTCGTGTTCCCGAGGTGGGGGTGGGGGTGAGACCTGGGACCCAGACCCCCTGGCTTCCGCGGCCCTCTCAGCCGCAGCAGCTCGGATCTGGTCCGTCACACAATCGCCGTGGACAAGGGCCTTGACTTTCAAACGGACCCTACCTTTAGAAATGGCTCCCCCCCATCCAGGGCACAATTCCCGCTTGGCCAAGCTGAGACGAGCGGCCACACGGACGAGGCGAGAGCACTGCAAGCACTGCCACTTACCACCTTCAAGGAGCCTGAAACGGTGGGCCCGCTCGGGCGCGACTGCCATGGGGCGGGCGACACGTTCACCCCTCCGAGTCCGACCAGCAGGCGACGGGAGGCTCGTGGTGGTAGCTTTGGCTTCACTGAGATCTACCCTGAAAGACGCCGCATACTGCAGCAGCCTTTTCTGAAGCTTAAGACACTGCTGGACCTGTTCCACCTTCCACTTCGGGGCGGCATAGTGGTCAGCTCCTTCTCTAGCACGGGCATCCGCACACCTATTCATATCAAAATGCATGAGACTCTCACCCGACAGACAGGCCCTTTGGGCCTTGGTCATGTGAGACTTAATCTTGACAGCATGAAGGGACTCACCTGGGACAAGGCCCTGATCTTCCAGGGCATCCCAAACAAGCTTCCAAAGGTGCGCGGTTATCTGCTCGCTGTTCACACAAAAATCTTTGCCAGCCAAGAGCCCCTGAACAACCTGCTTGCTGTCCAAAAGGAGCCCTATGAGCCCTACAGAGTGCTTCACAGCCTGGTACACAGCCCAAATCTCACAATGGGCCGATGTGGGCCTCGCAACAGGCACTGCACCGAACAAAGACTGGATCTCACTTTTCTTTTCATCGCACCAGGTGATGGCGGCGAAGCCTCCCGTGGATATCTCCTCCACATCGGGGGACAGGACGCATCCGTCCGTGGCCACCCAGCCCGACAGCATCATCTCGCCGTCGGGATCGCCCCACTGGCACTCGTCGGGCGGCGTGGGCACCTGGTACTCGGCGACGGGGTCTGCGATCAGGCCGCGAGCCCATTTCCAGAAGAGCGTGCCGCCGCCTCTGCAGCCCTGCTCCTCCTTCGTGGCGGCCATCTCGCCCAAATGCACCACGTCCCGAAAACTGTTCTTGAGGGTCGGCTCGGTGAGGCCATCCCGAATCGTGACGCAAACGTCTGCATCACAAAGAAAATACACGTGCATCGAAGTGCCCTTCTTCTTGCCGCACAATGGGCACATAGGGCTGGTGACCTGGCCGCGCTCGTAGCACACCTTCTGCGTGGGGTAGCCCCCAAGCGCAACCGTCCTGGCACTGTTAATGTGGTGCCTCGTCCAGGTCTCCGTGGTCTTAGAGCGCATGAGCTGCTTGACTGGCAGCAGGAAGGGGGTGGGTCGGAGCGGCTGGCGCACCTCGTCCGCTAACGCCCAGTCCATGAGCTTCTTCTTCGCGATCGCCCTCTCTGCGGCACGTAGGACCTCGAGGGGGGGCGACTTCGCGAATGTCCCACTTGTCGTGGGCGCCGTCGAGGATGGTCCAGGCGTCCTCCATGTGCCAGCCCAGCTCGTGCACCGTCAGAATGGTGGCTGCAGCTGGTCCACGCACCATCCTCCAGGCGTCGAACTTGGCTGGGCCATAGGCGAGAGCCCTCTGCACCTTGGGCCACTGGCGGCCCCAAGCGTGCGCCATCTCCTTCCGTCTCTCGGGCTGGTCCCAGGCCTCGCGCACCCATGCCCGCAGAGGGGCCAGTCTGAGCTGCTCGGCGCCGTCCGTCCTCGGCGCAACCGCCCAGCCCAAGGTGCCTGAGCGAAAAGCCCCAGCCCCTGCGCGCACGGCCGCTGTCTTGGCCATGACGAACTTCAGGACTGCAGGAGGGGTGCCAGCACAGGTCGCCCCGTACGCCACTGACGCTTTGAGGCCTTGCTGCACCACAGGGCGCACCCTCGCCCCTCTGCGCTTGAGCGCCGCCGCCTTGCACCAGCGGCCTCGGGCCGTCTGGGCCCGCCTGGATCTGGTGGCCCTCTTCCGAGGGCCCTGAGGTTGGTAGTCAACTCCCAACCAGCGCTCGCTCTCACCGTGCTGTAGGCCGATGTCCGCCATGGCCTGTGCCAGCTCCTGTGCCAATGCGCCGTCGCTGGAGACGAACTTAGACTTGCCTCTCTCACCCTTCGAAACCTTGAGCTGAAGCAGCGACTCCAGAAGGTGGATGAGAGCGCGGGCCAGGTCGGGAAATATCGCCCTCAACTGTACGCTCCTGCCCACCATACGCAGCGCCAAGTCGTCAACAAACTTCGTGATCTCCAGCTTGGCCCCTGGCCAGCGGGCCACGACATCCAGGATAGGATACATCACCATCTTCAGGAAGCGATTGGCGTACTTCGATCCAGCGGGCAAACCAACCTGGGTGCAGGTGAGGTCGGCGACGGCCTGGCCCTTACGTACCGCTCGAGGGAAGGCGTACGACTCCAGGGAGAGGGCCAACACGCTCATGGGCGCTTGCTGCACCATGCCGAGAATCCAAATCAAATTGAGCGCCACATATTCATAGGCCTTCTCCAAATCCATCAAGGCGGTGATAGATGCGAACCAGGTACCTTCCAAGGCCTCGTCATCCAACATCGCTCTCCAGACCGCATGCTCACTGCTACGCCCTGGTGATGCCCAGTCGCATGGCCTCGCGTGGGCCCGCTCCCACTGGCGAACCGAGGGGTCCCGAACAGCCTCCCAGATGCGCACAGGCGTGGGGAACAGGAAGATGGGCCTGCCGCCACCGTCCTCCTCGGCCACCAGGAAAAGGATGAGCATGCGTATGGACGTAGGCCACGAGCAGAGCCGCTCGCACAGCATGAGGATGTCCCCGAGGCACTTCAAGGCCTCGTCGCTGAGCCAGGCCATGTGTCCAAAATGCCAGCCGTCAAGCCCAAGCCCAGTCTTCCATTTGTAGCTGCGGCATATGGTGCGCACCTGCACCGCGTCGATGGCAGGCAGCATCTGCGCGTGGGCCATCCGTTGTGGCTGGACCTGAGTGTCCTGCCACAACTTGGTGTAGTCACCTGACCCAGCGCGCCAAATGCTAGCCCACTCCTGCGCCTCCTGAGTGACCGCGAGCTGCGGGTCAGCAGGCAGTTTCAGCTTCTTGGCCGACGAGATGGGCTCCTTCCACGCCTGCTTCCAGTGGCAGATGCGATGCAGAAAGCCCCCCGAGCCAGGGAACTTCGCGCCCAGGCGCTCATAGAATCGCTTGGAGCGCTGCCGCATGAGGTGCTGCTCCCAGGACTGGGCCCGCTTCTTGGCGAACTGCTGCAGCGCGAGGATGGCCTGGGCACCGATGATGTGGGGCTCCACGTCAGCGATAGCGCGCAGAGTGGACAGCATCCCCACGCTCCAGAGCCCCAGCTGGTCCCAGTGGTGCCTCGCCTGGAACAGCTTCCTCCAGGCTCGCCTGAGCTGGCCTGCGACCTCCTCGTTGTAGGTCCGAGGAGGCCCTCCTCCCGAGGTGGAAACCTGGCCCGCTAGGGCCTCCGACTTGGCCTTGGGCACCGACTGTCCCCGCAGGACGCAGCAGACGAGTTGGCCTATCCAGGCCAGTTCCCCCGCGGCCCAACGCCAGGCCCTGGCTGGGCCTCGATCAGCCACAGGGCTGTCATGCTTCGGGAGAAGCTGTCTATGCACCACCTCGGGAGTCAAGCCTCGGCCCTCATACCTGCGCGCCTCCGACTCTGTCCATCCGAACAGCGATCGAAGCTCGGCCTCAGCAGCAGAGCAAAAATCCAACCAGCACTGGTCCAGGTGCCGCTGCGAGCCGTGTAGCAGGTCGGGCACGGGGTAACTCTGCGGGATCTCGGGCTGCCTGACAGGAGGTGGCCTCGTGATTGGGTACTGCTTCGGGCCCTTGAGGACCTGGATCTGGTATGCGTGCCAGGGTTTGTCGGCGCGGATCCAAGTCGGCCTGTGCGGCCTGTAGGGCATGTTCTCGAAGGACTTCACAGGGCAGAAAATCACGGCCAGCCTCGCGTCCATCCAGAAGAAGTCAATGACCCGATCCTTGAACTCCTCCGCACCCTGCTTTACCACCTTGGACCTGCACGTTCCTCCTTCCCCTTGCCAGGCCAAGACTTGGCCCTTGGCCTCCTGGTTCCAGGGGCTGTTGAGAATGGCGTGCGGCTCATTGTTGAAGTCACCCATGGCCATCCAGGGGATCCTCATCTGGCAGACCCAGTGCACGATGGTATCCAGCAAGGCCGCGTTCAAGGCCCAGGTGACAGGCTTGCCCGTGAACAGGTACACCGAGAAAAAGGCCACCCAGCCAATGCCCTTGACCTCGGTCATGCCCAGGCACAGCCTGCCTGCGGCGCCCGCGGGGGAGATGTCCCACGAATCCTGTCCTGGCGCCAGGCTGAGGCTCAGGCATCGCGGTGTGACCAACGCCACGCCCGCGGAGCTGCCGCCCTCTGCCGCACGTACGGCGGGTGCCCCCACAACTCGCCAGCCCCGTCGCTCTTGCGCCGCCGCCGTGACGTGGAACCACTCGGCGGGCTTCGCGTGCTCCTGCACCGCTAGGATGGGGATGCCGCCCTCCTTGATGAGCTGGCCGGTTTCCTCTTCCATGAACTCCTCGACGCGAGCCCAGGAGAGGTTGGCATTGAAGGTGGCGGCGATGACGTGTCGTGCTCCTCGCCGAGCGCGTCGGCGACTCTGGGGCATCCCAGCTGGGTCATCCCCCTTGTGCTGCGGCCTGCCCTCGAGGCCGACGGACTGGGGAGCGGTGGGTCCGATGGGCGGTGACTGCCTGCCCATGGCCGCAGGGGTGCAGTGGCCCATGCCCTGGCCAGCGTAGGCGCCCCCGCCGCCCCAAGTGAGGCCGTCCCCGTGCAGCTCCTCCTTGTGGAAGCCCCCGCTCGTCCAGAACTGGCCGTCCTCGAAGGTGGTCCAGTCGAGCATGGGCGGGCCCGCGGGCCCATCAAAGAGGCGTCTGGGGGGGCGCCTCCTCGCCAAGGTGGTCGTAGAAGGAGCCCAGCACTGCCCGCTTGGCGGCTCGCTCTTCCTCGGGCAGCCCACTGAGGTAGCGGTCAGCAGCTCGTCCCTCTTGCGCTTCTGCTCCTCCACGGGTCCCCTCCTCCTCCTCCTCCTCC